AAAAAAAAAAAAAAAAAAGAATTCTTATTTTCTTTTCTTGATAAGTTTTTAACTTGCAGAAAAGTTCTTACCATAAAGCGAATGAACTTTTGTACGTAAGCCGTTTGATGCGAAAACTATAGTGTTGTCACAATCATTTAAAGCCATTTGGATTATTTATCGATAAGTTCGAAAGTACTTTTAAACTTCAATCAAGGTTGTCATCAATTTAGGAAACTGATCAGAATTGCACCTGACGAAGTGGATCGGTCCGTGGGCTCTTCAACGTTGCTTGAAAATGAGGCTATAAACGAATCACCATATACTTATTTAAAAGAAGCAGAGCTTCGCTTAAATTTGTTTATGAATGGTTTGGCTCCACTGAATGTTTCCAGTGGAAATCCGTCGTCATGTGCAGGATCGTCGAGCAAGGAGACTAGTGTTACAACTGTTTAATATTGCAAACAGTTGAAGCAAAAATTAATAATTCTTTTATTACGGGACAGTCAACAAGACAGATATAGTATATTGTCGCTCAAACAGTTGTCTAGCATGTTCGCCACGTTTAGGTTGAAAAATTAGATTGGTTTTTTTTAATTTTTAATCAATTTTGACTGTTTATTCTTGACGAACAGATCAGACATAATAATGAACATTTTTAGTTGCTTATCTGCAACATTTTTGCGTATAACAGATGAGTAGGTTAAAATTTGTCAATATAGTTTTGTTATGAGACTGATCTTATAAACATTTCTGCTATCATTTGCTATACTCCGCTGCCTTATAGATATGGATCTCAAATTGCCTTTTTTATTTTGTTTTTCTGAAAGCTGTTTTTATTGTAACCATCGTTGTTGACAGTTGCTCTTCATGACGCTTTAGGAACGGCGGTGTCTGTAAAACAAAAATTTATTTGTTGGTAAAGCGAACTTTTTCTGTTTTACAATTGTAAATTTCAATAAAATGTTAAAAGAACATGGTTTTGATACATGAGAAGGGAATATTGAAACAAGAAACTGTTTTGGAAATGAATGACAGTTGTACAGTTTTGATAACTGAGGAAGATAACGTTGATATCATTTTATTTGCAACATGTATGATTCAGAATTTAAAAATTGGCGATCGCTATACAGTAAGAATTGTGTTTTGTACAGTCGCTCATAGGGTCTACTTGAAGGCGGAATAGACCTTCTACTGATGAACGTCTGAAGAAGACAGGAAAACAGGTCTATACTTTATCACTCTATTTATTGTCCTGTTTAAGCAGTACAACCTTTGTTTATACGGAAATATAACTGAACCAATTTTATATAATAGTGCAAAAAAATTGGATTTTTGTAAAATAATTTTTGTTTAATGTTTAAGATACATTATAATTAGTTATGAACAAATATTACTCTCATTTACTGATATAAAGACAAACTTTTCTTTGTTACAGGTAAATAAGATATTTCTAAATTAAAAATTTGAATATTTTCCAAATTCAAGTGTTTGAAGATATGAATTTTCAGTTAAAAGAATAATTTAAAATGATAACTTACGGGCAAAAAAGTTGGCATAAATTCTTGGTCGATTACAAAATTACTTGCTCAACTATTTGATAAATATTGTAGAAGTCTTAAAAAGAAAAAAATTCTGCTGAGACTTGACTGAACACCTAAATCTGAAATAGAGTAACTAACAACACTACAAGTTGCTTTTTTGTTGAACTAAGGTAGATTGTTAAACTAAAGTCTACTCAACAACCGCTTCAGCCTTTAGTTATTTCCACCTACAAGAAATTAAATAATTTTGCAATTCTTAACTGCCAATATCTTATCAATTACTTTTTATTGAATTAATTTAAGGGCTAAATTTACTGTATCAAGAAGAAGCACATAAAAAAGCAATTCTGCTAAATACTGCAATTATTGCACCAAATCTGAAACATTTGCAATAAATGAGTTATACAAACCGTCGGTCTATCTTTTAGGTTTTAGAGTTAAAATTTGATAAATATTATAATCAGAACTTTAATATCAGATGTTAGCATTATCTATTACAACTTTATTTTACTTTTATAACTTTATTTTACTTTTACTTTTTTGAAAGTTATTTACAGAAACCTTACTGTACCGTACAAGTGCCACAGCAGTTTTATGTATTCATATTGATGCTGACCACAATTCAATAAGTTATAATAGATAATGCTAACATCTGAAAGAATTACTAAGTAGGAGCAGAATATTTGCTGATTTCTACATTCAGTGAATTTGAAAGTACCTTAGAATGGTGGCGGCTTGAT